CCCTAAACCCTAAACCCTAAGTCCGTTAAACCCCAAACCCCTGAACCCTAAACCCTAAACCCTAAACCCTACACCCCTAAACCCTAAACTCTAAACCCTAAACCCTAAACCCTAAACCCCTAAACCCTGAACTCTAAACCCTAAACCCACAGCAGTTGCAGTCGGCTTTCGCTACGCAGCCGAGAGCCACAGCGGACGCCTTGTACAGTCTGTGCCCCGCAGCAAAGGCACCTTGAAGGAAACACTACAGCTTGAAACCCAACCAGCAAGGGTTTTTTTTTGAAGCAAGGGATCAATATTGAAGAGACTTGCGGAAAGGCCAACGTCTTTGGAGAAAATCTCCAATCGATCACGCCAGTCAATCCCGAGCGAGATTCCTGACTTCTCACCGGCGCAGACTCCTCTGAAGCTCAATCAGTCCTAAACCCTACTTAAAGGATCATAACTAAGGTTATTATTAGGGTAACTAACCCCAATTAGGGTAATTATAGCCATGCTTACTAAGTCCCATGATCCTCCAAGTAGCCATGAAGGCCAGCGACCTGGTGGTGAGGGCCCTCCGCCAGCAGCAGCAGCTGCTCCGCGGCGTGGCGTCGAGAGAGGCAGTGGGTCCAAGCAAAAAAAAATAAAAAGGGGCCTTAGTAGGTTGAATATAGGGGCCTTAGTAATTAAAGTAGAATAGGGTTCCTTTAAGGGTTCCGGGGGGCCTCAGGGTTTAGGGTTTAATATAGGGCCCATAGGGACCTTAAAATTGGAAGAGGGTTCCTGTAAGGGTGTGGCTTAAAGGGCGGAGCACATACCTCTCAGTCGAAAAAGCAGCTGCGCATCTGCCTGCATAACCCCCGATGAGCGCTTCGTAAACCTTCACTCTTCACTGTCTTCCCAGAGACTCTAATATCCCTTAATTAAGGAATATTCCTTAAATTATAGTAGGATCCTGAATATGATGTAAGGTATATTCCTTAATTAAGGGATATTGGAGTCTCTGGGTTCACTCAAAGCCAGCCCAGAGATCGCTGCGGCTTTGCCAACCTCGAAGGTGCGATGCCTCCGATGAAGTCCAATTTGCCTTGTTCGACGTCAGGCCGAGCGGTACTATGGAGCAGTTGAAAGCTTCGCCGTTTTGCTCGTGACTTCGTGATTCGGAGTCTTAGTCGCCCCACCTCTTCACATTTGCGGCAATCTCCAACTAGTGCTTGGGGTGTGTCGAATGCAGCGATGGGTCGTGCGACCATGTACATTTCCAGCTACAGCACTCGCATATGCTAGAGTAAGACTTAAGATAAAAGTGTCAGACCGAATGCAAATAACATTTGAGTGCGCGTTTGGCTCAGATTCTCCATGACTGTGATGTTCGAAACTCCGACGTTAGCAGACTCATGAACCGTCTTATTCCCGAAGTGTGCGAGTTAGCACGGCTCACGGCTCTAAATAGACTCTTGTAAACTTTTCGAATCGCATAAGACCCCAGACTTGAGCTTTGTGCTCTCAACGAATCTTCCGAACCTGCAGGCCGAGAAGACCGGTACTTCACTTGAGGCAAGGCTCTAAGGGTGTGCGGCCTAGGTCTGCGTGCATAAGATGCAGTGCGCAGCATTTCGTAGACTGAGACATTATGGTCTGACTCCCCACGAGCCCTCCTTGAGCTCACGGGCCATCAAGACCCGTTACCCTCAAAAGCTCTCGCCAAGCCACCGCTGAGCAGCGGAGTCTTGCGACGGTGCTTTTGCCATTTTGTCATTGGACTCCTTGTGCGCGCCAGGTGCGCCGGGAGCGGATGAGGGATCAGCCGCAGCGGATCTGAAAAGCGGGGTGTGTCAATTATTCCAGACTGTGGGAGGAGTCTCGGGAAGAGTCATCCGTGAGGGTCAGTCATGAACCGGACGAGCATGATGGAAAGCCCGTCTGGTTGACATGGGCGTTTTCCCTTCCTGTCCACTCGCCGTCCTAACCTCCACAGCCCATGGCTCAGAGTGAAGGTAGCTTCCGGAAACATGATGAGTGCCACTGCTTGCCGAGTCTACAAGCTTCTTCCCTGTCCTATTCCCTATTTTTCTCGTGTTAGGAGATGGGTAATTCTCTGGTCCCCAATAGAGTACGGCACCCTTATAAAAAGGACCCTAAAAGGGGCCCTACTTTAGAGAACTACCCAGATGGTGAGCAATTTGTCAGTTCTTTGCTCTGCTGCCCAGCAGCATGGGCCTGGCTGTCTTCGCAGCTGTGCCCGTCGATGCCGCTGCAAACGCCTGGGCCAAAGTCGAGAAGGTCGTCGATGTTCTTGAGTCGCACTTGCATCCAGGCCAGAAATGTAGCATTGCAGGTCGAGGCTCTCTATGGAAGCTGCACGCCAAGAAGATGCTGCAGGCGCAAAGTAGTCGGCGCAACAGCATGGCTGCACACAATGATTTGAAGTGTTCTTGCGACAAAGCTAAAATTGCAGGTTAGGACTCTGCTTGCATCGCGACGAGAACAAACTTCCCGTCGCAATTGCGGCTCTGCAGCTTGCAGCACCAGAGGCATGCCAGCAGCATAGCCACTACTACTACTACTACTAC